GCCCCCCCCCCCCCCCCCCCCCACCCCGAAATAGATCCTCGTCACTCTCCTTCCCACAGGGCTTGTTCTGGGGGTTACGCTTCTCATGCGCCACCACGTGCCCTCTTGCAGCCACGGTTGAGGGTATTCTACTGGGGTATAAATGGTACTGAAGACGTCGAACTTTCCAGCCAACACTGGTGTGGTTGGAAGATCAGCAACTAACATTTCCAAAGACGCGCACATAATGCGGGAAAGGGACGCTGCAGAAGATTGCTGTAGCTGGCGAACCTCGACGACCTGGACTATGGACAATCCAGGCGCCGCTCCAGTCTCTCCGCAGATAAACCAAACAAGACACAGCAGCTGGCACTGCAAGGAAGGACACTCTGTCGTTGGAAATCTATTACGCGCCCAGCACTACCGAACGCAGTGGTGACACCCCTTTGCGCGCTGGCCGATGGCTACGGCACTCGGCACAGGACATGACACCAGGGCCCAGTGGTTGCAGTTGGAGGGCCCGCAACTGCCGCAACGTCACCCAAAGTGCAATGGCTTGGACAACCATTCCATCACGAGCTTCAAACCATATGCTGTCATGCTCTACGCGCACCGTAGCAACTGCCGAGGACATGGCGTATTGTTGTGTGCCTCGCATGTAGGCTTATGTCCATACCTCGATGGACGCAACTGCTCGACCGGTGGCCGTCCAGTCGGAGTACACGAGAGGCTTCATCCCGTACGGCGTTCGAAACGGCGTGTTCCTGCCCAGCAGACCTTGACGTACGCTCGCAGCGGCACCCTGAAAGCTCTTTGATGCTGCATCTGTTGCTGTACTTTCCCTACCCCCTCCTTGGCTCCTCGAATCACCCGGCACGGTGGCGGTTGTCTGTACTACAGGTGTTGCTGCCGATGTTGCTGCCGATGTTGCTGGCGGCGGTGCGCCATCTTCAAACAAGTCGATGAAGCTGCGGTGAGCGTCCTGTGTAGGCCCAGACGAATGGTCATCAACCAGACATGGTTCCGGGGTACTGGTCTCAGCAGCGGTGGAGAGCATAGCGCACCCTCTGCTGGACATCACGGAAGCTGACTGCTGCTGGCTGCTTGTCTGCGTGTCAGAGCAACCGAGCAGTTTGATCGGGGGGCTCTCAAGCTGCTCTGGTTCTCGTTGGCTAGGTACGTGTGGATCAGATGCGGTTCGCGACCGAACCAATCCCGATACGTAATCACACCGCATTTTAACCGCCGTGGAAGAGATTTTGTTAGAGAGGCTGTGTCTTCATGCGGAGGGGTGGTGCGTGACGACGGTGTGGACATGAAAGCATTTCACCCGATGTGCAAGGGAGCATAACAGGCAAGATGAAGTTCTGCACACACAATCAATCCTGGGTGTCGTCGGAGTGAGTGCGTGCCTACATACAGCAGATATGGTTGTTGGATCACACGACGTTCAATGTCAACAATAGATGAACGCGCTGTCCACGGCCGCACGATCCAGGAGTGATACCCTCCGAGAAAAGAGATACTTCGTATGCTGTATGAGCTGTGTCTTGTCGTGCGGAGGGGTGTGGTGCGTGACGACGGTGTGACATGAAATCGATAAGTAAGGACAGACAGCGCTTCAACTGAGCACAGGCAAGAGGGAGCTCTGGACGCATGATCTGTCCTGAGTGTCGTCGGAGTGGGCGTGCCTGCAACAAGTAAATCTGGTTGCATCACACAGCTTTTGGTGTCAACAAAGGATTAACGCGCCGTCCACGGGCTCACGATCAAGGAGTGATACCCTCCGAGACAAGAGAGTCATCAACGTCCCGTTGAAATCACTGGAAAATAGTTTCCCAAGCCGTTCAATACCCATCTCGCATTGACAGGGAGGGGTGACAGCTTGCCGTTCTCTGCACCAAAGGCCTCTTCTTGTTAATGTAGGGGAATGCTTTTCACCAAAGCTACCACAAGGCTCGGGGGAGAACGGCCTTCTCCCTGGTCGTGGAGGTCTAGCATATGCTACGCCACACCGAAAGGTCGAGTCATTCAATCTGTTCGGTGTGCGTTTTCGCAATGTTGCACCGCCGTTCCAGGATGTTGCCATCTGGCGAGCTGCCTTTATTTCTGCATGGTCTAGACTAAATATTTAGGCGTACCTAGACACCCTTGCCTGCATTCATCGCTGCTGCCCACCAATTCTTTTGGTAGACGAGGGTGACGTTGGTATCGTTCGTGGAGGAGCCGTTGGACGTTCAATAAAGTGTTGGATTTTCCGAGGAGATACAGCCTCAAATCACTCAGCAGTCGACTACACACAAGCGGGAAGGGGCTGCACGGTCATTCACCATCTTCTCAGCTGAGTGATTCAATTACAGTCGGGGTCCCTCTGAAGTGCGGGTGTGTGCCAAGCAAAATGACCCACACCATAGTGGGCACCCGCACTATATGATTTCGCGCCTGAGTAGTGCGGGAAGGCGCACTTCAGGATCCTCAGAACCCTGTACAGTGCGCGGGAGGCGCACTATTCGCGATATCACTAGGATAAGGTACTGTACGGGTTGTATGCCAACAACAAGGCGAATGAAGGTGGCACAGCGGTAGTGTGCGCAACAAGTGAGGGGACAGAATAAGATGTAAAATTTCTAGGGTAAACGCCTGCGTTCGTTCGTGGGTGAGACTAGAACACACTGCGCAGCGGAAAAACGACATCTGTCCATGGCAGAACAGATTACACCATACACTGGATCCATGACATGTAGTGCAGAGTATGCTAAGTGAAGAAGTTGTGTCTCAGCTCGTGTTGTTGCTCCAATCCATTGTGCGTTAATTCCCCTTGAATATTATTAAATTGTTGAGAGGATAACACCTACGAGCCAAATGGAACACGTCCGCATCCATCCTCTCACACAACCGAGGAACATCTTTGAAAAACAACCTTCCAAACCACTCAAGAGTAACCCACAGATGCGAAAAGCAAAGGGAAGAACACTCCAAACGCAAAGACGACATAAGCAAAGACCCTGCTTCTCAGTTTCTTTCACAAAACGTCACTACGCAACGCAACACCATTTTTTTTGTGGGGTTAGGTGGGGTGAACGCACGAAGGAAAAAAACTGACGAAAACCCGCAATATATTGACCCACATCCCACACACGTACTGCAGACACCCCATCATTCGATTTTTACGAGTTGGAATCTGAAATTTGGCATGTTGTTCGTGTTGTTAAAAACAATACAACTGCTAGCCGTACTCTTTCTTTTTTCCTTTTTTGGACTTCCTATACACAACAAAAGGATTCTTATTTTTCCTTTCACAGGGCTACCTCATGAAAAAAAAATACTTCTACATATAAAAAAGTACGGTTTGTAGTTGTATTTGTTGTACTTACACGAACCACATGTCGAAAATTCAGGTTCCAACTCGTAAAACTCGTGGTGTAATTGGCTTTCAACCATTTTGTTTGCTTCTTGGCTGGCCCAGCTTGTATACAACGAAAGCTGCACCCAACTTAAAGTTGCTCTAATCTTTCAACATCCCATACAACAGTACCATTATAACCGCGAAGGGACAAAACTCAATCACGAAAATTTAAGGACTACGAGTCGTCAGAATCCGAAGCGAAAGCGAGGATACGCACAGAGAGCGTATCCAAATTGAATCACACGACTCCCCTACACAAGTTTGCTCTAACGACCTTGTCCGACATCACCAGCCACGAAAACACACAGTTGTCCTTGTGCGGCAAGAGCGAGGTGGCCCTAACGAACATCCGCTCATACTGCTACAACACTTCAAACGAACGATGACAAAACGAACATCCAACTCACCATCTAGGGCCAATCGCAGACGGTGTTCAAAGGAATCACGGAACCGAACCAAGCGCCTGGAATTAATGGCAAACAGACCAACAATCGGCGCGTTCTTGTTCACGGAGTTCCAAGAAATCTTTGAAACCCTGGACGAAACGATGGAAATACCTCGGGATGAAGCGGGACCACCAAGAGCAAGAGACGACGTCATTGGACGTCACTCGTTTGAAAACCTCGAAAATGTGAAAGAGCTTCACACAGGCTACCCTGACCATTATTGCCAGCAGAGTCACCGAAAACACTAGCATCAACCCGCGCCAGGTTCTCTCGCAACGAGTTCGGAAGGCCACCATAGTGACGACAAAAACCACCGCCAGAATTCCCGAGAAGCTTTCTTGGTGGCCTAACACTGTGAAAGAGCACAGCAGGAGGAGAGTCCACGCAGCCACGCAACACACGCAACGCAAGCACACGAAAGCCTTGTTGGCCCACGTGGTGGAACCGCTACTTCCATTGTCCTGCGCCGATGCGACAGCCTCACGCACAGTTTGTTGCATGAGGTGCGTGGTGCACACAGTCGTCGCCGACGCCTTCAGCAGGAACACCAGCCAGTCCGTACACTCCTCTGGCCACGAGCATACTGTGCGGTACGTGACCCAGAGCAGGAGGGTGGGCAGTAGGACGGAAGACCATACACGCCGCGTTGGTCCTGAAGTGAACCACGTTACGACACTTTGCAGAGAAATGGCTTGAGTCGAGGAGGGCGTTTCCCGCGTCTCTCGCCACCCCTCGCGAATCGCCAGGCGCATTTCTTGGAAAGCGGCCCACGCAGCCCCGGCTATCTCAAGCCCGAGTAACCATCCGCCGCCTGGAGACGGTACGGGGACAAGGCACAGGAGAGCATCGAGACGGGCAAATACATCGTTTGATCGGTGTCATGATGCATGCGGCGTTACAGATGGGGCCCGCAATTAAGTAAAAATCTGTTGAGAAAAAAAGGCTCAAATTTTGATGGAAAATATGAACAAAGGGCTGAGAAACACAGCTGAATCTAGGCCGTATCATAAGAAACGTCCCAATAAGAAACATGATCGATCGTGCGATATCCCAGACATAATAAAAAAAGGTAGAAGTTGGGGGGGGAGGGGGGTCCAAGAAACGACCCACTGCTGCCGCTGCTGCTGCTGCTGCCATGCTCCCATCTCCTCCCTAGCTCATGTCATGTAACTTTTGGGTAGGGGGAGAGGGTTATTTTTGCGGCGCCCCTCACCCCCCAACGCCGTCGCAGGCTGCGCCACCCACTGCTGCTGTACTGCCACAACCCCCAATGATCGCAACACCGAGCTGTCGGTGAACTTGTGCGTGACGGCTTGGTGTGTTGATGTTTTCTTCGCCAGAAATATAAAGTAAGAAAATATGAAATCAGCAGGATTCGACAGCCCAAAGGAATAAGAAACCCGTTGTAAGAAATCGAACGACTTCGGCTGGTCCTTCTGCCCAGAATAAGAAATAGAGGCTCGCCGACCTTTCGATGTTTCTTATTTCCGGGCCCTATCTGTATACAGTCTAACTCGGTAGCCTGCAGTGTACGTCAAACAGGAGTTGTGTGTGCCGAACAACATCTACATGCAGTCCAGAACACGTGGGTGTCACCACGACGACACAGTACGTCCCAGAAATTGATGTTCTTCTCGGGAGAACCTCTTTCGGCCCCATCACACGTGTTGAACACACGTGCTGATCATGCGCAAGGTTCTTTTAACTCAGTCATGCTGCAGAACATGTCGTTTCGACCTTCGCCACTTTCACAACATCGGCTGGCCCTAATAGTCTCTCCTGTTCGTTTCACGACGAACACAACAGTACCAAGCCACCTGTCACGAGGGTGGCCGCAGTGGACAGCAAGACGCCAACGGCGGCAGGGATGCACTTTTTAGCGGCTCTCCAACGCCACTGCCGAGAAGGAAGGCTGTGACCATCATCACTGCTCTGGGCTGGCCGAGGAGATACCCCGCCTTCCGGTTGGTGACCGCCGAGAAGCGGTGCAACGTGATGAACGAGGAAGCCACAGGCAAGCACAGCGAGAGAAGACCGGAGGTCTCCTGCTCCGCTATACACGTCCTGCGGGACTACTGCCACTATTATCACGAAGGACGCCATGTACCTGCCAGGGAGAGCCAAGTGAGATGGGTTGGTTTCTAGAAGTATCGACCTTTTCTTAGCATTTGCTTGGCTTCGGAAATAGGTTTGAGGTCTGAACTTGCGACAGCGAGGCTTGCCACCAAAACTGCTGTACAACGTTCCTGTTTTCGGAAAACCAGCGCACGCCATCCCATACGGGTAAGCTTGGGGCCCAAAGATCAGAGCGACGGGTGGAATTTAACCTCTCTCCCCGAGAAAAGCAACTCCACTTGCGGACTGGTGGCTTCTGTATCAGGCACGCAGACGATCGAGCGGCGGTGGCGCTATTTTCTGGAAACAGAGAGAGCAGCAGCGCAAACTCACGTGGAAGCGCTGGCCCTGAAGTGAGCGACGGCCGTATGCAGGCCCTTAAACCACTCGATGGCACTTTCGGCGGCTTCGACCAAGACCACGCCACCAATGTAGCACAGCAGCACGAGGAGCACCCGATCATTGTGGGGCCATTCTACCACGAAAAAAGAGAACAGGCAGTAGAGGCCAAGCAGCACAGCACCGCTAACGGCAAGAGGAAGAAGCCGTTGCAATAGCGGTTTAAGTTTTTGCCGCTGATTGTTTTGCGCCGCTGAGAACTTTGCTTCTGTCGCGTGCCACCGCCATCGCCATGACTTACGTTTCGAGCGCTGGGGGGGTACGTCGGAAACAACGGCATGTTGACGGAGAATTAGTCACACCGCATACAATAAATCAATCCAGTTTTTGCGTGAATGAAAAGGAAGAAATGCCCGCCCACGTTGAGCTTCGACAGCTGGGAGAAATCTACTGTGCAGCCTTGCTGCGATGGTTCCGCCCACTTCAGAACTCGGTCCGGGGCAGTGTCACGGGCTCACAGCACGCCTTCTCTCCTATGCAACACCGCAAAACGTTTTGCAAAGTCTCTGGTCTTCTTCCAAGAACCTACCTAGCCACGGGCGTCCTATGGCTGTGTGACTGATACCCAGGCGATAAGTAGTGTGTAATGATGGACGGGGGGGGGGGGGGGGGGGG